AAAAGCACTAAAACATATACTTTACACCAGAGGGCGTCATGTCTCAGGTTTATGTTCCCGTTCTGCTGCAAACATGAACAAGTCACTCAGACTCAGATTCAAATGTAGATCTTTATTTAGTTTATGGATCTAAATGGACAAAAATAACACAGTGTAATGATTTTCATACATAAAATAGATGTTTCTCCCAGTCTTTGGTTTTCTTAACAAAAGCGGGGCTACGTCGCCCCTATAGAAAAATAATTTATGTGTAAATCAATCTCACAAGCTCAGTTGCATCGTTTTCATCAGTCGTGAAAAATACAGTCAGGAAAAAGCTGAATCCACACACAACCTGTCCATCCTGCCGTGTCCGTCCTCACTGCCTCTGGGCGTCCTGAACGCTCTCGCAGTGCGTCTGCCCTCCGCTCTCACATTTGTTTTCGAGCTGAACGATACATCTGAATGAAATCTATCCAACACTGACTCCTGAGCAGACGTACGCAGCTGCTTGCTCACAAATCAAAAAAAGTTGCTTCCCAAATTTAGAAATGCTGATAAAACGGGGTTCACACGACACCGCTGCGTGTTCTAGTCAAAAGAATGATAAAGTAAAAACGTTTAAAATACTTTTGTTTTTTTAATATAATTCTCTTATACTTCCATATTTACAAGTAGAAGAAACTGGAAGAAAAGTTCAGAAGATCAAAGGTGAACGAAGGCAACACAACACAAAAGGAAACAACTCGAATAGGAAAATCAAAAAATACTCGAGGGCATGAAAATAATAATCTTTCAGTTGTCTGTGAGAGGAGGGACAGGTAGGGCTGTACTGGCACACGGGCCAGAACCCGGCCCGTGTGCCGTCAGCTGACCAACGAAACAGTGTGTACGACATTACCGTCAGTGGGGTTCGACAGCCGCGGAAAGTCACATATTGCATACAAGCTAATACCAATATTATCCCACACCCGAAAGCTCCCTGTGCGTGCCGTAGAAATCAATAAATCTGGAGGTGTGGAGACGTGGCGCCGTCCCTCCATTTGTAAACCTTCTCTGTGATCACCGTGCGGCAGAGGGGGCAGCTCTTCTCCCGGTTGAACCACAGAGCGATGCACTCGTCACAGAAGATGTGCTGCAGAGCAGAGCAGAGAAACCACGTCAGTACGTCCTGTAGCTACACGACATGAAGAGAACTGAACACAACGAGTCACCGTTTTTCACTGATGTTGAGACGATGAGTTTTGATTTTTAGAACTGAATGAAGACAAACACGTGTTACAATTACAGAAACAAAAAACAGAAAGGTGGTGAAAAACATGTATTTAGATCTGTAATGTTCATTTGAATTATTTCTGGTTGTCTCTTGTTTCTGCTCAAAGCAGGAGGGTGAACAGGTGTACGGTGGAGGAGGATCCGTGTTGTCCACCTGTGGTTTACCTGACAGAGCAGCGCCCGAGGCTCCCGGTACTCTCCCTGACAGATCGGACAGACATCTCCCGCCTCGCTGCACTGACTCCTGGTGGCTGCTGCTCCCGTGTGCTGAGAAATGGAAACAAGAAAACGCTTCACAACACTTCAACAGCCTGAATATCTGCTGTTTAACTCAGAAGCTGTTTGGCACTGACCTCCCCCACGAGACATATCCTCACAGTTTTCAGTAAAGCCGTCCACTGTCCGTACAACCCTAAAAGCTGAAATGAGAGGAAAAGAACCAAAGAAAGAATTCACGTAAAGTCGAAGAAGGTTTTCAACGCTGCTGCAACAAAAATGGACTCCCTGTCGGTCTGCACCTTCAGAATGAGGTAGAGCAAAGCCAGCAGGACCCCCAGTGTGAGTCCAGTAGCACCGTCGGCCTCCTGGTAGGTGACCAGGTAGCGGAACCACAGTGGAGCAGGAGCTGTGGCCTGGTGGACCTGACCCAGCTCCTCACTCAGCATCAGCCACCGGCCCTGGAGACACAAACAAACTTCAGTTCCCGAGCCAGCACTCCCAATGTTTGTCTTGATCAATGATCTCATGGAGTCTCACCTGGGTTCTGTAGGTCACCAGTGAGGAGGGCAGCAGCAGAATAAGGCACTTCATTCCCATGTAGAGGAACTTTATTATGAAATTGGTGACGCCAACTGCCCACAGAATCTCCCAGAACCCCAGCGGCTCAATGGTTGGACTGAAGAAGATGAGGCTAGGAGGAGGTGAACGTTCAGGTTAAGAGGTGCGATCCGGGGTCAGCGGTTCACTACACTGCAGCACTGGGGCCTGATCCACTGAGTGCACTGAGGATTAAAGTCCAGCACCTGACTTAAACGAAACTAACAAATCCATGGGGGCTAACACAGGTCTGTAAGGACCAGCTCAGGTTCACGCAATCTGGCCCTCATTTTATACGACAGGTTCAAGAAGTCAAGATAATTACATGTGATTCTAAAGTAGTCCGAGAGGTGGAAGACGACTCAGTCCACGCTCTGCAAACAGCAGCCGTACAGAGAGAAGCCTGATGTTCACGTCAACTTCTATAAGAAACATAGAAAGAATCCAAACACCTACTGACCAAGAAAGGTCATACAGCTGCCATAAACCGAACCAGAGAGATCAACTGAACGTCACTGGTGGCAACTAGTTAAAATCTAATAAAACATGTATTTACAGCTCAATTAAATCCAGGAGTCAGCATGGTTCCTCTTATTCGGACATGAGCTCCCTTTGAATTATGATTTGTGAATTACTGGGAGGGTCTTGTACACCTGCAGCAAATCAAACGAAAATACACAAGCAGGGTGCAGAGAAACCTCTAATAACTTGTTTAACTGTAAACTAAATTGTATAATTCATCCTACATCCACCCAACCGGTCGAGGCAGATGGCCGTCCCTCCCTGAGCCTGGTTCTGTCTGAGGTTTTTTCCCTCGCAGGGGTTTTCAGTTCCTTCCCACTGTTGCAGAGCTTATAGGGAATCCAGATGTTTTGGATTGTTGGCTGTTTCTGCCTTTGTTAAGCGCTATGAGATGATTTGTAAATATGCGCCATACAAACAAAATTGAATTGAACCTCCACAATATGCTATTTTCACCATGAATTTCTATTTTTTTTGGTTCCATCTTCGGCACAATTCATTGAGTCAGTAGGAACAGAAAACCGGTCGCTAGAACACCTGAGTCAGGAGTAATATCTTGGCTTTGGGATGATTTTACTGCTGCTGGTTAAGCAACAACTCAGACAGCCTGATCGCTAGTTTGTTAGAATATCTACCACAACAGGACTTCACAGTTTGACCAGTAAACAAACAACCTTGATGTGTAAGTCTTAACTCATGTCGAATAAATTCAGCACTGAGCAGTCTAATTATTTACGCAGCCCACACACAGATGAATTGAGACGTGTCAGCATGAATTAATGTGACGTAAGTGATGAAGCCTCACCAGCGGTAGAGCGTCTCAGTGACGAAGGTGTAGTAAAGCAGGAGGGTGGAGGAGGCCAGGAAGAGCAGCAGCCATATGCACTGCAGCTTTGAGTGTCGATCCTGAAGGTGCACACAAGAAACATCACGTCAGAAAAATCTAAAAACTGTATCAGGAGACAAATGTGATTTCGGTTTTTGACTCACCTGAAGAAAGACTTGAGTTTGAATGTTTTTATTCACATATAAAAAAGTTGTGAAGAGGCCGACCCCCACGGCTAAACCTGGGAAATGAAGACAGAGGTTAGGACGTGTTGTCAGGGGTCACAGGTGACAATAATTCTGTTTGCGTAACTCTTCCTCACCAAGAGCATGCTGGAGGACCAGTTTAGCACACAGTATGATGAGGAAAGGAAGGCTCTTCTGGAGCCAGCGGAACAGACAACGAAGCTCAGACAAGGAGGCGCTGGGTTCTCCAGAGTCCAGATCAGAGTCCGGCGGGTCAAGATCGGGCTCTGAGTTGGAGTGGTGCTGCGCCCGACTATGTCCATGTGAATGTGAATGGGAGTGGCTGTGGGAGTTGATTCTGGATCTCCTGGATGATGCGCCTCCACTCGACTCCCCGGGGCCGCCGGTCATTGGTACCCGCACCTCACCGCTCTCAGGGCCGGCGGCGGCGGCGGCAGCAGCGACTGGTGCTCTGGTGAGAAGCTCTGGTTGCAGATTCAGGGATAAACCATTTCCTGCATGATCATCCCGCTCACTTGAATTCGGCTGCATTACAGTTGGAGACTCCCTCAGTTTCAGTGCTCTTCTGGAATCACTCCTGTCACACAAAAGAATAACCGCAGTAGCTTCAGTATGTCCAGCATCAACTGTGTGATCTGTGACCGATCGTTTGAATCTCAGGTGGAAAACATCATGAGGAACGCTTTATTCTGTTTCAGTAACAGTGAATGCTTGTAGCCTTTCTCGTCTAAAGAAAACACTGATAAACCCACTCGTGCTTTTATTTCTAGCAGACTTGACTGTTGTGATGCTCTGGTCTGTGGCCTGCTTAAGAAACCTTTAAACAACAAATAGATGATCCAAAGTGCAGCTGCTTGTCTTCTCACCAATGTAGAGAAAACAGGATTCTGGTCTTCAAGGTTCCTCATCGGCTCCCTGTTCATCCTAGTGGTGTTTATTAAAAGATTTTGGTTCTGAGTATTTATCTTATGATGATCTTTTGTTAACTGGTATGAACAACACATTCTGATCGTCCCTAGTCAGAAACTCATACAGGAATCTGACACTTTTTCAGATAAATTTCTCCACAACCTGTAAGAGAAACGATCCCCTTCATGGGGAACACGTTTGCTTCACTAAGAAGTTTCACAATCCTATTTGGATTTATTTTGTAGATCGTTATTTTCACAGTCGTGGTGGAAATGTCACTCTTTTAGTTTGAATGTTTTTGCAGTTACAAAGGAAATACAGATTATTGTCTGCTGTTAAGTATGTTCTGTCATCTCTATTAGAAGTACCAGTATGTTCTTCTTTTTAAAAATCTAACTTGTGTCTTCCAATGCACCAAAGACGGAATATGTGGTTTATTTTATTAGGTTCTGTACATTTAGAAAGTTCTGCAAAGACAGAGCATTCAGCAAAGATTCCTTAATCATTAGGTTTAGGAGAACATTTGTAACTGAGACTAAAATCACTAAAATGTTCTTACATACAAACACGATTAACTCTGTGGGTGTAGAACAGGGGTGTCCAATCCTGGTCCTCGAGAGCCCCTATCCAGCATGTTTTAGATGTTTCCCTCTTCCAACACACCTGATTCAAATGATCAGCTCATCATCAAGCTCTGCAGAAGCCTGATAACGATCCTGAAGCAGGACTGTGGCACTCGAGGACCAGGATTGGAGATCCCTGGTGTAGAAGGTGGCTGATGTTTTAGGGACTGACATGTATCAGGTAAGCTTGGGTTAATGCTGCTATAAGCTACACAGAGGTGGAGGTGTCACGATGTAAGTTAAAATCTACTCATTGATCTCTGTTTGGTTGTAATGACACTGAACGCATCACTGGTTTTATTTCAACACTTCTTTGGACAGACTGTTCACACAGAACAAACTGAGGCCACCACAATGACAGAAACATCACGTCTCCTTCCTGACAGCACTTTGTTTTGCCACAGATTGAACTGTAGATACTTGTTGTTTGGCTAAAGTTACACCTGCTAACACAAACTGACCGGCAGTCACGAACTACGCCACGTTTTCACGACCTCCACTGATTCTGAGCATCTTTACATCGAAGCAATTCACGTTAGCAGTCAATTAAATTAGTCATTTTTTTACTCAATAAAGCCAAAAGCAGCTGACAGACGCCGACAACAGCCAGCTGGCCGTTCCCTACACAGTTAGCCGTTAGCATTAGCGGCTAACAGGTGTTTTCCATTAGCTAAAGCTTCGGCCCACCTTTCACTCTGCACCCGGAGTTTCATGGTAAGCTGTTGGTCCCCATCTAGTACAAAAGCCGAGACGCCAAACGAAACCAAAAGGAAACCAAAAATAAAACTAAGCGGTTAGCTTTCAGGCTAAGCCATAAGCCGCTCGTTCAGACATCTTGACGTTGTTTACGGCGGCAGACGTCGCAAACTTCTTCTGTTGGGTTTTTACGGCGGAGCGTCAGTTAGCCGCTGCAATGCCTCCACCTAGTGGACAGCTTCGGTACTGCACCATGTTACTGGTTCATCATCATCTATGTTCACAGTTAGCCTGCTGCTAACTACATAATATATCAGCTATTTTACAAACTAATCGGTTAGTTGACATAAAAACAGGCAAATTAATTACGTTAAAGCTGCTACAGTTTATATATTGATTGCATAATACAGCACAGTATGAATGGAAGCAAAGGTTTGAGCACAAAACTAAAGTTGAACTGGAAACAACGACAACAGCAACAATAACAACAATACATGTAAAATAAATGTAGCTATAATTACCACCAGCAAATGGTTATCAAGTAATCTGAAAGGAAAAACACAGGGGCTACTAGTATTAGCTCAAGACCAGGCAGGATGCACCAGTGTGGGGGCATTACTGGAGCATTTGTCCATGCATATGGAGAGTTATCTGTCTGCATCTCAATCTGTGTGTCTGTTGTGAGATTTGTCAATGTGTAAAAGAAGTTGTCAATGCGAGCCGGAATCTATCTGTAAGGCCTGAAAAGAATAATTAACAAATGGGCTTGGATTTATTTATTGGTTATTCTAATCATGTATTAAAAACCTTGACAAATATTATTGATGATAAAAAAAAAAAGAAACTCCATGGCCCTCATTCATAAAAACAACTCATGATGTTATTTTCCCACATTTCAGCAGCAGCACCGGTCCATGAGCATCCCAGGGAGTGAAGGCCTGTAGCACAAAATATCCTTCATGTAAGTTGACTTTTTGCTCATTTGCTTTGCTCTACAGTCCCACATGTTTTAAACTTTACTGTGATGAACAGAGTCTGAAATCATGACAATGAGAATCACCAGTAATGAATGCAATCAACAGGATCTTAAGAGAAGCTGAAGTTCAGTTTGTTGCTTCCAGCTGTTTGTTGGAGTCTTTCCCCGGAGTTTGTTAAATATCTGCAGCAACGCATGCAGGAGGTTTTTATTTTGTTCTACTTGTTGATCTGTAGTTTTGGGTTACGGGACTTTTCCTTCACCAGCACCTGCGTCTCTTCTCCTGGACCACTGAAAGCATTGGTCACCTAAATGACCACTGTGACATAATCATCATGTAATTATAGTAAAACATGAATAATAATAACCTACAAAATATATCAGTCTTATTCTGTGTGATAGAGAAACTAGCAACTCTGGTCTAGCTCAGTAGTTTAGTCCCAAACATTTTTGCCGCAAAGTCCCCCCCGCGACCCTACAAAAGATAAAAATAAAGGATGGTACTTTACAAATGATTATGATTATTGCTGTGAATAAATTAGACTAATGCCAAGACACACAGTCGGAGAACAGCTGGTCGGCTAACCTGCACTCACTTCAATATTAATGTGAAACATAGACTGAGCAAAAACAAAACAGAGTGACCCGACTTTGTAAAGAACAGTGTTTTGTATTTTATATTCATTTTACCCTGAAATAACTTGATAATGGTGCACTTTTTAATTAAAAACCAGAGAACAATCTGGGCTGGCCTGAGCCTCCAATGTGTTTTATGATCCTAAGAACACCTCTGCTAATACAAACTGTTATGTTGATGCACTCCCTCATAATCCTGTGATTATTGTAGGCTATCATCATTGTGTTGTAATGAGCTCACAGGTAAGTCCACCCCTGATAGGCCTAATCTGTGCTCATTGTGTAGTTACAGTGATCTCATTATTCA